AAGAACCCCAAGTTTCTTGTAGGGATAACTAGGTGATGCTGATTAATGAGACCAGGGACAGGAGGCAGCATTAATTTGGGGTTAAGGGAGAGGAATTCCACTTTGAACATGTGTCATTTGGGGTACCCAAGGGACACCTGGAACTCAGGAAGGGTACATCTTAACTAGGGAGGGCTGCCAGGAAGGGGTGGGTGGCCCTTGGCTTTTGTAGCAGTTTGAACTGCACAGGGGTGCATAAGAAATTAAAGCTCCTACAAAAGTGCCCCTTCCCCCACGAAATGGGAATCTTGGAGAATGAGAAGAATTTGAGAAATGAAGATGCTAATAACACTAATTACCATTTATGGCAGCTTTGCCTGCACTAAAACAAGCACACTTATTCAGCCCAAGTAAATGGTTACTACTTATTGTCTCAACTTCACAGGTTAGGGAAATAGGCATTAGACAGACAAAGGGGTTTGATTAAAAACCAGAGAAAAAGGCCTTGCTGGGGTCACACAGTAGTAACAGAGCGCATACCTCCTCCACCACACGAAAGAAACCTGACAGTATTCTTGGTCTACATGTCCACAGGGGGCTTCCTAGGAACTCTGGACTAAAACCGTGATTAGAGCGGCCAGACAGGCGGTTTTCCCTACTGGGAACGTTCCGTTCCCAGGCTCGTAACTCGCTCTGAACCAATGCGGTGATTTCAGCACCATGGTCAGGGGCGCGCCGCGGTCTTTCAGGACCTCGGCGCCGGACAGGTTGGCCTGGCGCTCGTCTTCTCCATCTGCCTTGGCCCTCGCATCACAGAAGCAGAGGGGACAGATGGGAGCCTGGAACCTCGCCAAGGGTCGGGGATGAGCGGGGGTCGGCCAAAGAGCAAGTTCTTGGCTCTACAAGAACCCGAGGACATGCCTTAAAACAAGGCACAACTACAGACTGACTCAGCACAGAGGAGAGCTCTAAGCTGTTAGCTTAGAGCCAGGGTCGCAGTCCTAACTTGCTTCAGTAACTCACTGAGTGACTGAAGACCTTGGGCAAGTCACCTACTTCCAAGATTGAGCCTCTGTTTCTATGGGTGTGACCATCCTTCCTTGCTGTAAGAGGGTACCTGAGATAAGAAGTATCCAGCCTCAAGCCTCCCACAGTCTGCTCTTGCCCCTTAGAAGGCATAGCTGACAGGCGAGGTTAGCGAGTGTCCCCCACTGCTTTTCTTGAGCACTGTCTTTTTTTATGGGCGGGGCTGGGAGGAGGAGGAGCAGAGCAGAGGATATTAATTACATGAATGTAAAATGTAATTATGATATACCTAGTGCTTACTCTGTACCACATTCTCAGCCGAATGTCCCTAATCACCCATCCCATACTGTCCCCAGTGCCAGACCCAGAAAAGCCTTTTCCATGTCTTTGGGTCGTAGGGGGCTGTAACTCTGAGCACCGCAAGCACAACCTTCTCTTAGGTGCCCAGAAATCCAGTGAGAAAGTATTAGGGAAGTTCTCAACTGAATGAGCTGAGGTTCAGAGACTTGTCCAAGGTCACAAAGCTGGGAAGACAGGCCTGTGGAGGAGAGGCGGGGCAGAGTGCGCCGGTGGGGTCGCGTGCGCCCGGGTACCCGCCTGCCTTTGTTCCAGCCCAGCGGCCAGGCTCCCAGGCATTAGCATTCCAATGGCCCCTGGGCGCTTTGTCCTCCCAACGAAGTGGGCTTGGGGGTGGGGTGGGGTGGGGGAAGGGCAACCATAAATCTACCTGCTTGTGTGTGCGCAGGCGGGGGATGTTGTGGGTGGGATGGGACCGGGCGGGGAGGTGGGGCGGGGCGTGCGGTGGGGTGACGCAAGATTCATGTGCTGTTTTTCGGGAAGCCAAGCTTGGGCTCAGACAAAGGCAGAAGAGAGGGAAGGATCATTCCACCCGAGCGTCTTTCCTGCCCCAGCTTGGGACCCTGTCTGGGTTTCAGGGAGCTGGGGTGCAGGCTGCCACCCCAGACCCAGGAGGCTCTGCAGCCATACAAATGCTGGCGCAGTGAAGACGCCTGCAGCTGGACATTTTAAAAGTGGCCAAATGACAAATGTCTCGGGTGGGACGGGGAGGTGATAGTGATGCTAGACCATTTATGTGAGCCACTCCCGGAACTGCTCTCTGGAAGCCTCTGGAGGAGTTTCCTACATTGACGTGATTGATGGCAATCTTCCTGGGCATAGGAGTCCTAAACTTTGCAGTGATTCAACCAAACCCTAAATCTCCCTTGCCTCCTCCTGACTTGGAGAGTAGAGATGACAGGCAGCTCCGCGGTCAAATCTGCCCTTGACCCAAGGTGGCAGACCAGCAGTGAAGTTGGTTAAATTGTAACTTTCTTTTTAATTCATTGGTGGGAGGACCAATCCGTGTGCATTGGCTGACCGATAGCTCCTTAATGAGCACCCTCAAAAATAGGAGGGGCTGGGGGAGCGGGTGCCTCCAGTTGGAACACAGTGCCAACAGACACTCTTCCAGCTTCAGGGGTTGGTTTGTACCAAGGGCACATATGCCAATTTGAACATGACTTCCCACAACCTTTCACAGCAAAAGTGACTTCCTGCTTGAGGACTTCCTCTCCAAACCCATAGTCCTGGCCCAAATGCCTCTTTCCCTGGTCAACCTCCCAATCCAGCCCCAGGGAACAGCCCCACCATGGCTGTGTCTCGTACCCTCACCCAGCACCTATATTTTTTGGCCTTGAATTATTTTGTCAATATACTTGCTACTATCCCTGGAGAACAGAGATGGGCCCTCCTGCTTTTCATGTCTGTCCACAACCCTCCCCCCGAAGCCCAGCAAGTAGCAGGCACTGGCTTGGTCTGTGCAACTGGAGCGACAGACACCTGTTCCCCTCTGCCACCACCTCGGGGTGCCCCAGGTGGGAAGTTGGCTGCTGCAGAGGTCACCAATAACTCATTAATCTTCTCTTCCCAGATAAAGCCACAAAACAAAACACCTTTCATTGGTTTGCTATGTCTCCCCTCGCGCCCACAAACCCAGTCCCTGATAGCCGAGACGTAACTTCTGCGAGCTACCTTTAGGGACCTAGGAGTAGGGGAGAGAGGAAAAGTTCAGTTTTAAACGGAGAGGGAGTAAGAGACAGAATGCAAGAGCCATTAAACCCTGCAAAGCCTCCACCTTTGCGCGCTGTAACGCGCAGGAAAGCGACCAACCGGCTGGAGGCCTCTGACCGCGCTGCGCCTAGCGCCGCGGCCCGATCCTTTCCCAGGCGCCCAGGGCCAACCCAAGGAGGTCTCGGGTTCAACTCACAGGGTAGAGTGCGAACCTTCCATTTTCTTGTTGTCGTTTGTCAGGCAGACTCTGCGGATTCTTAGAGCTCGTATCTGTTTTCCAGAGGTCCCGGGGATCCCGGGGATGCCGGGAGCCAAGTAGCGGTGTTCCAGCAGCGCCCCGGGGACAAATTTCAGTCACCACCGCGCACCAATCCTGTTCCACCTTGGGAGTAATCAAATACAAGTAGCTGGAAACCTTGAACAGTTTCTTGGTAAGTTTGCAATCAAGGCTGCGGGATGTGCGGGGGTGCCAGACATTCCAGCCAGACCCTCCACCTTCTCTACTCCCCGCCGCTCAGGTACACGAGTCACTGCGCCCGCCACCCGAGGGTTGAGTGCGTAAAATGCACTCAGAAGATGCGCTAGGACTTTAAGCAGTTTGGGGAAATTCCTGGGATGCGCAGCCCGCTGGTGGCGTTTCCGAGGGCTCTGATTCTGCGGTGGGGTTATTTATTACTCCCTCTTTTCCCCAAAGTCAGCCAAGTTAAGCCAGTGGCACTGGAGAAAGGGCGAACAGCGCCAGTGAGTAGTCCTGGTTGGAGGCTTGTCTTTTTTCTAGACGACTGTTTGGAAAAAGACTAGTTGCTGCCCCATACATAGAACAACGGGTCTGGACCAAAGCCTTCCAGCTCGTACTTTCCAAGCGCGTATAACTGACTTGCCTCCCCAAACTCAGCCTGCCCAGCCCCCAGCCTAGCACCTCAGCTCCTCGCCCAGCTCAGAGGAAGGGCCCCAGACCCCCAGGAAGTCTCATTCCTCTCTTTGGACAGAGGCACCCCTCCCCCACCACTCGCGCCCCCCCCGGCCCCCCCGCGCCGCTGCAGGAGCCGCTGCCCTCCACTCTGCACAATCCAGACACCTTGCTCAGACTTCTAGAGGTTCCTTTTTTTTATTGGCTTAAAATCTCATTCACCAGTTCCTAAATAATCTTATGTACAAAATATAGACTATTCTTCCTTTGAAATCTCATCAATAAATACAACATGTAAAACGGAGAGGGGCCATATAATTTACCGTAGAAAAATTCATTTCAAAAGATATCATAACATTTACAAACTGATTTTTTAAGACATCGGAGTTCCAGGTCACAGGGAGGTGGAGGTGGGGGGAGGGTAGGAAGGCGCTCCCCAGAGGGGCTGTGAGACCAGCTCACGGGTCGTTCTCCCGCCCGCAATGGCTCAGAAAAGTGCAAGAGATGAAGGCAAAAAAATTGCCTTCGTGGATTAAGGCAAGTGGAGCGGCCCAAAACCCGGAATTTGATAGGGCGTGGGGTAAGAGTTCAGCCGCGTCTTTGGAGAAGACACGCTGCATGAGGTGAGCAAACGCTGAGACCAAGTGTTGGGTTAAATCACATTGTGGGAGGAGTGGTAAGAGACAGACAGGTTGAGTGAGGATAGGGTGGCGGGAGACGGTGAGCGTCTTTCCGCTGTGTAGTGCTACCATTCTCTTCCTTTTTGCACGAGATTTTGGGGTGGCTGCAGGGAGGGGGTCCAAAACGCGCACAGCCTGCAATGCCCACTTGCGCGGGCAGCGGCAGAATGTAGCAGTTGGCACGGTCCAGAGGACGGGGTACAGAACTGGCCGGCCACCCCTACCGGCACCTAGGCCCAAGGGTCAGAGAACGAGAGACAGAAGGAGCAAGTCCGTGTGAGGGCCACCGGCGCCACAATCTGGACAGCACCCACCGCCCCGCGGCCGGCAGGCCGTCATAGAAAGTCTGAAAAAGCCAGGGCGCCGGGGCGCAGGTAGGCAGGGGAGGCAGGAGCCTGCAGCCCGGGGCGCCCCTCCAGCGAGGCGGCAGGACTCAGGCTGCCCGCCTGGGAGACTGGGGAGGAAAGGGAACCCCAATCTCCCGGGGAGCCGCCGTCCGGGCTGCCCATCTCCTCGCAGGGCGGCTCCAGCCCGTAGAGGCTGTGATCCGCTATGCGCAGCGTCTGTGTCAGCGCCCAGATGTAGTTGTGCGCGAAGCGCAGCGTCTCGATCTTGGTGAGCTTCGCATCATCAGGAAAGGTGGGCAGGACGCCGCGCAGCGCGTCCAGCGCGGAGTTGAGGTTGTGCATCCGATTGCGTTCGCGGTCGTTAGCCTTCTTGCGTCGGCTCCGTCGCTGCTTGCTGAGAGCCAACTCACTCTTGGGCCGGGTGCGTCCCCCACGCCGCGCCCGGAGCTTCCTGGCGGCCCCTCGGCAGCCACTCCCTTCTGCCTCGACGCAGCCCCCTGGCACGCGAGTGGGGCTCGGCGGAGCGGACGCGATGCAGGTCACTTCCTCTTTCGAGGAGACCGGGAAGGGCTGCTCTGTCTCGTGTGTCACTTGGACAGCTGGCGTACCCGAGGGATGAGGCGCCATCCTGCTGCGGGGTAAGAGGAACGGGTAAACGTGGGTCAGTCACCCAGGCGCAGTTCTCCATCCCGGACCCAGGTGAGAAAAAAACCACAACACAAAAAACGAAAAAGAGCCACCCCCACCTGATCAGAGAACCCCTTTTCCCCTTCGAATGCCGCTCTGCGGCTTCCAGGTGCTACCTTGTTCTTGTATGCAGAAGGGTAGCGAGCGGTGGGCTTGGAGCACAGCTGTGAGCTGATCTGGCCCTTGCGTAGCTAAGTTCAGCTGAGATTCTTGCGCCGCTGCCGGGGAGTTCCCACAGTCGTAAAGAAGAGCAGCATGAAAGGGGCTTGGGCCTGGGCGGCTGTCTCTTGGCGCGCCCGCGAGACCAGGCGGATTTCCTGAGCTGCAAGTCGTGTGCTCCTTGGCACGCTTTATCTGCTCTGCTGGGGCCAGGAGCGTGCCTGCCCCGCCGCTGCCCGCGCCGCCGGCCTATCAGCGCCGCGACCCGGGACCGCGCCACGCGAGCCCGCTCCTCCCCCGCGGGGCACAGCTGGATTCCGGACTATGGGGGAGGGGAGCGCTGCTCTGTTTGCTTTCTCCCCGCGGGCTCTGTCCCAGCAACTCTCAGTTCCTCAAAGAACCTCGCCCAGTGAGAGGAGCCTTGTCTGGCTCACGCCTGGCGGTCCCGGACCGCTTTCCTCGTGTTCTGCGTTTCCTTGGCACCTGTCCGGAGCCTCTCTTGGTGCCCTGAGGGGGACTTTGGAAGCCTTCCGGGTGGGTTAGTCTCCGTGTGTCACACACGGGGACATTTAGGCTCAGGGAGGGCGGCGGCTTGCCCCAGATCACACACAGCAAGGGATAGAAAAAAGAGCCCGGAGTCCTGACTACCAGCTTGGAAGAGCACCCACTAATTCCAGATGTCACCCTGCTCTCCTGCACTGTGGGTCGGGTTAGGAAACACACACAGGGCAATGTTTCATTCTGGGAGCGGGGACATGGCGACGACAGAGACAGATGTCCCTGCCACTTACAGACTTTTGCTTGGGGGTGAGGAGCTCCCCTTGCCGTGCCCCGAGGTGACCCCCCCAAACTCCTCAGACGGAGGCACTTAGATCCTCTCTTCTCACACCCCCCCCATCCGAAAGCTAAGACATTTCAAAGGTGACTCAGAGCCGAAAGGTGCCTATGGCGAACCGCCCCCCCCCCCACCGCGGGACATTCCACAACTGCCAACCGTGGACAGTGCCCTGGCGTTGGGCCCAGGGCCTGCAGGGCAAGAGTTCAGGGGAGAAGGGTCGGGAGAGGGCCAGGAGTTCGCAGCACACCCTCGTGTCTCTTACAGGCCGGCGGTGGTGCGCTGGCCTGAGGAGGACCAGGCACCTCTTTCTGCCCTTAATCCTCCCGTCCAATCCCCGGCGGGCGGCGGCTGCCAGCGCTACCTGGTCCAGCCTCCCGCCGCGTTCCAGACCGGGACCGGGCGGTGAGCGCAGGCAGGGACTCCCGGGGCCCATGTTCCTGCCGTCTGGAAATCTTTCCAAAGTGAGTCTGAGCGCATCATCCCTCCTTTCCTCCCCGCCCCTCCCTTTTGTCCCCGCCTCGGACACCCCGTGGTCTTCTGCTTCCGGTCACTCAGGGTGAGGGGTCGCGGCTTCCGCTCCTCTCTCCTCACCGGGACGTGTCCCGGGGAGGAAGCGGAGGCTGGCAAGACTGGGTCCCAGGTTAAGGCTTCGCTGGCGGCTAAGGCTTTACTTTCTAGCATCTCCAGAGACTCTGGGCCTCCCGGAAGTTGGGGAGGGCGCTGAACCGGGTTAGGGAACTGAGGGGATGGGGGGGGGGAGGGAAAGAGGTAAGTTTGTGGATCTGCCCGAGTGACGGCCTCTGCCAGCCACCCAGGCCACTTGGAATTACCTCTAAGGCAGAGAGGATGGGTATCCTCAGGAGCCAGGACGAAGGGACTCTAGGGCCGTGGGCAGCTGGGGTCGCTGTCCTCTCGCTCACAGCTGGAAGCTGTGAGCCCAGGCCCTTTTCCTTGCTGTGTGGGAACAGAAACTAAGGGTCAAGCTCAGCACCACAAATGGAGTCCTTGGAGACTCAGGGGTTCCACATTTTGCTGCCGTTTCCCCTTAGGTCAGAACTTGCTCCAAATTGTCTTCTAGTTATAAGAATGAAACCTGAGACCCCTTTTACAGATGGAAAAATCAAGGCCCAGAAAGGAGAAGTGACTGAACCAAAGTCACAGAGCAAGTTCTATCAGAACCACACAGAACTCAGGCCCTAAGTCACCTAGTCCTGGATTCTCCTTTTCACCTGCTGCCTCTCCTTAATTGGGGGAAAAGAAATACCTTTTCACGGCAAAACCAGACACCCCAAAATGGAGAAAGCAGGAGAAATCCTGGGTCTGTGAAGAATGACAGGGTCAGAGTAGAAAGGGGTTAGGGGCCGCATCACCCAGTGCCAAGGGGAGCCAGTGTCCTTTCTCGTTCCATCTCTTTACTTTCCTGACCCGTACTGCAGGCTTGCTTGATTTTCTGTCCTGCAAATTAGAATCAGAGAGAGGAAGCCCTCAAAATTGCTTCCCTAACTCTCCCAGGCCCACGCTGGCTCAGTGGAGAGAGCCCTGGTCATGAGGAGTCGAAGCAGCCCTGTGGGTCCCCGGAGGCCTGAAGGGCAGCCCCAGACCACGACTGTCATCCAGCAGGGGCTCTCAGATGAAAAGCGAGTGCGGGACTCGCCTTGGCCCCAGCTTGCCTCAAGTGGCTCATGGGCACTGGAGAGAGGCCTAGAGCGAGCTTCCTGCACCAGGGAAGATTCTGGGGATTCTTGAGAACCTTCTTGATTGGGAGAGAATTCTAGGACCGGCTTGGAATTCTTATCTAGCTCCCCCAGACGCGCTTCGATTCGGGGCTCTCCAAGGTTTGCAAGCCGCCGCCACTACTCCGGCTTTGCGCAAGAAACTGGGCGAGGAGCGCGCAGCGGCGGAGGGCAGCGGTCACCTTGGGGACTCAAGAATTCTCCGCTTCCCCTCTTCTGGCCAGTAGGGCGGGGATGGAGTTTGAGGAGTCCTAGGGGGTTAGACAACAAGGATTTACGTCCTCCCTCTCCGCTGCCGGGGACGCACAGACCCGTCTCCAAAGTTAATTCCTGTGCTTTGCTGACTGAGGCGCAGGCTGTGACAACTCGGTGCGCGCTGGCCGGATTTGTGCATCAGCTCTTCTAGCGGGGGAGTAGAGTTAGTTCCTGAAGACCCCTGCCAGCCACCACCTCTAAGGCCTCCAGGACCAACGTGCCCATCGACTCGTTGAGACCCAAGCTTGCCTGGAGGCTGAGAGGTCCCAGAAGAGAGGCGACAGCCAGAGGCCTGGAGACGGCGGACAGACTGGAAAAGAAGGAAGGCTGCGGTCTGCCCTTCTGCCTTCCTGTCTGCGGGGGTGGGGGAGAGGGGGGAATCTTAGCAGTGCCTGGGGGCTTCTTGAGAAAGGAGCGCGAGGAAGGGGGCCTTAGGAGGCTGAATAGCTAATGGCTTGCCAGAGGAGGGGGCGTCTTTCTCTCGCCTACAACTCTGCACTGAAAGAGGGGAAGACAAAAATCTGGCGAGCGAGCTGCCCTAGCCGAGACTGGCCACTTCAAACAGCCCTTCAAACAAAAGGAGACGACGGAAAGAAAGCCCCACCTGTCTCCAGTGTTTGCTAAAATAATAATAAATAGATTTCGTTTAATAAATAATTACAAGAGATTGTGAAGTGGAGTGCTTTGGAAAACATCTACTGCGGGAGTCCGCAGCCAGCCGTCACCTGCTCCCAAGGCGGGCAACTTTATTGTTAAGCCACCCCCCAACTAATTCGCCTCTGATAAACTCTCCCTCGTTTTCACAATGACTGTTTACTCATAGTTAGCACAATATTACCTTTGCCGTGATAAACCCAGAGCGGGGAGACCTGGCCCCTGGCCCCTGGGCACACCTGTCCCAGAAGCTGACACATGGATTTGGCACCAAGCAGGCCTCCCCCCCGGGGGCCGTGTACATTGGCCCAATTACCACCCATTTATAACAGGTTGGCTGCAAGGCCTATCTCGGTCCTATTTGTCTTCTTTTATTGAAAACATATGGTCTCCAGGGGCTCACCAGCTACATATTTCATCTGCCAGGAGCTGGGGCGCTTCCGCAGGTTGGTGCTGCTTGGCGCACTGCTCCCCACCTAACGGCTGCTCCTGCGCCAGCTGAGGGGATGGCGGAGGTGGGGTGAGGAGAGATAAGGCAGGATCCTCATTCGCTTTGAGAAAGACTCCTTTTCCTCAGAGACTCCCCCTCCCGGGGCTCAGGGACCTTGTGCGCTCTCGAGTGGGAGGCTGGTTCTTTTTCTTGGGTAGGTGAGAGGGCGCCATATGCCACCCCCAAGGGCGCACAAGGAAGCTATGTCCCAGGGAGTCCTCGAACAAAGGGAGGAGAGGGCCCGGGACCTCAGGAGTGCCTGAGGTCTTTATTTCCAGATCCCCCTCCCTGCCCAGGACCGCCTCCCCCCCGGCATCCGAAGCTGGAGCACAGTGCCTGGAAACAAAGTGTTCACATTGTCCCCGCCGCCGGCGGGGACAGTGAATGAGTGAAAAGGTGCATTGCGCACCAAGACACCTGTTGAAGCTGCGCCTCTTCTCAGCGCCTCTCTCTGCTCTGCCCCCGGTCAGGAGGGAGTGGGGGTGGGGTGGGAGGAGGGAGAGATACAGTGATTTGTGGCGACATATGTTGAGCAGATCGGTGTGTACTCTTCACAGGGACACAGGCACCCTTGCTCCCATACACACCCGCGAGAAGGAGCAGCTGCTCTTCTCACCTTCTCCCGACATAATACCTGGGCCAGGCGCTTTGGCGTTGCCTTTTGAGACTCCAGCTTTCTCTCATCCCTCTGCTTTCCGCCCCCACCCACCGCCTAATCTTGGCAGCTTCGCTGCAGGACTTTATTGTCACATTTAACAGATGCACGTTTGTTCTCAGCGCCCGGCATCAAACACACACACGCAGACATACA